GAGCCGGGCCAGCAAAGCAGCCTGCAAAATGCCAGTGCTTGGCCAAATAGAGAGACCATAGTACAACCTGTGTTCTGTGCCCTTAAATCCCAGCCTCTGCCCCCCAAAACCCACACACACCAGAGCGGCCATGTTTGCTCAGCAATGCAAGGGGCTGCCTGCAGGGAGGGCTTGTGCATCAGCTGGGAGCCTGTTGATCCTTCTAAGTTGCCTCCTGGGAGTGATGGGCACCCCCCTTTCAGGTCAAAGATGAGTAAAATACTCACCTGCAGGAAGTTGGAGGCCATGGAGCAAAGGCTTTGCAAGAGTTTAAACTGTCAAAGCATGTGCTGTGTGGTATAGGACAGCTGGGTGATCCCAAGACCATCTCTGTGTCTCCCTAGCTCAGACCAATGTGTTACTCCTCCCCGCCATCCAGGCAAGGAAGGAAGGAATAATTAGATACATAATGTGCCAGGGAGTGACAAGTGCCATAGTCAGGACAAAGCAGAGAAAAGGACAAGGAGGCCTGGGGTCAGGGCAGTCGCTATTGGATGTGACGATTAGAGAGGAACTCTGATTAGCAGGACTTGATGAGACTCCCCAAAAAGTGAGGGTCTGAGGCAGGCAAGGCCTGGGGGAAGAGAGAGCTAGGCAGAGGGAACAGTCACAGTCAGTGCAAAGGGCCTGAAGCAGGCAGGCAACTAATATGTTTAAGGAGCTTGTGGGGTGAAGTTATCTAGGGGGGTGTTGGGGGAAGCCGGAGGAAGGCAAACACCCAGCAAGCATGAGCTTTTCTGAGGTCCCCACAAGAGTGGTCCAGTGTGTGGTGTGACCAAAGGCACCTGCAGAACACCCATTTCCTATGCCCTCCTCCTCCCTACACTGGGAGGTACTTCAGATGGTATATTTCAAGGTGCACTTTGGAGGCTCATGGAGGCAGCCGCAGATCTATGCTATAATTAAACGAGACTGAATTTATTGTTCACAGAAATCTTGGCAGAAATGAGTAGTCATGTTGGTGAAGTAAGTAACACAGAGTCTCAGAGTTTCTATTTATATTTGGGGGTGTTTAGGGACTTCATACTTTGGCTCAGGATTTCTACCCCCTTCCTATTTATTATCTCTTGAGCTGTACACAGCTAAGGGCCCAACTGGGTAGCCAGGAGAGGAGAATGTGAATGGGGGTGGTCACCAAGGCATCATCTCAACGGCACCAATTCTCATATGAATGGCCCCTGGACACAGTCTACCTGCCCCCCTATCCCCATAGCTTCTTACAGCTCTGCAGTCTCTGGAGGATGCTTTGTTTCCAGACTTCAGTACCACTGAGCCACATTCACAGACCCAAAGATCTTTGGAGCCTTTTCTATCTCCCATGCTACCATACACTACAGTTTTGAAAATTGTTTCAAAGCCACATAACACTTCTGTAGCCTGTGGGAGTAGTTTCCTAGCTAATTTTTCACCCTCTGCTGTTTCCTCACTGCTTTTCCAACCTCTGCCCTAATGCCTTGTCACAAAGCCAATGACACATATTTCAGTTTTTGTTAGGACAGCACTCCACTTGTAGATATCAATTACCTTTTTATTTAGCTCTTGACACATTATAAACCACCCTAAAATTTCCTATCTTAAAAACACTTATTTAGACATAATTTGGTACATCAGCAGTTTGGCCTAGGTTCAGCTGAGCAGTTCTGGCCTGGATTGGGCTCAGGTCAGCTCAGCTGAATTCACTCAGGTATCTTCAGATGGCTGGTGGGTCAGCTGGGTCTGGCTACTTTATGCTAAATTCCTGCAGAAGCCTAAGTTTTAGTTGAAAATGCTTTTAAAATATAAAAGCCATTGGGCAGTTATTTTTATGCTTGACTTTAAATCTACCATATTAGTATTTGACTTGTCTCTTTATTGCTTCCTTTTATTGACTTATTTTAAAAATTATTATTCCATTTTCCCTCTATAAATTGATATGCCTCTGCTATTTCTTTATTTCCCTTATTCTGGAGGTTATACTATGCATTTCTTAATTATCCCAATCTAATGTTCATTGTTGCTGTTTCTGGACAAAGAAAAGATTTTAGAACACTTGGACTCCATTTACTCTCTATTTATGTATCATTGTTATCACTTCGTCTTTGTTTGTTTTCACTCTTATTGGCAAATGGAGGGAGGTGGTGGTGGTAAGTTCCAAGGATTCAGTAGTGCCTTACAAGGTGACTGCCTCAGGGGAGGCCATTACAGGTCCTTCAGGAAAAAGGGAGAGCAATTCCTCAGGCAGAGATAGAAGCGCTGCTTGTCTTACAAAAGATGTGAATCAGAGCCTGTCCATGGGTCCTCATTCTAATTTTCACAATGCCATTTCTTCCCAATGACCCCTCACTTCAACAAAAGAAATTTAGTCTTTTATTCTGATGCTAAAACAGAAAACCACAGACCGAGTAATTAATAATCAATAGAAGTATATTTGGCTTACGGTTCCAGAGGGTGGTAAATCCAATAACATGATACTGGCATCTGGCGAGGGCCTTTGTGTTGCATCAAAACATGGCAGAGGGCAAGCAAGCTCATGTGAGACAGAGAGAAGGAAAATTGGGTCAAACTCATTTTTTTTAATCAGGAACCATGATAATGGCACTAATTCATTCGTTAGGTCAAAGCCTTCATCTCCTAATCACCTCTTAAAGGTCCCACCTCTTAACAATGGCAATTAGATGTCAACAGATATTTGGACTGGACAATCAAGTCATAGCAAAGACCCTGTGAGGTCAGGAATTTATTATATGTTGTCACTCAATTGTTCCCAGAATTAGATTCTGAGTTTCAGAAATCTCAACCCCATGGCTATATGAGACAAGGTTTTTCCCCCACTCAGGGTAGTCACAGAAACTTTCAGGTCCTTTACGAATGCCTTGAGCTGGGAATTTAAAGCACTGTGTTGATCATTTTCTTCAAGTTTTTCACCAACCAACCAACCAACCCTACTAAATGTATTTTGACTAAAATGTTCTAAAGTAGCAAATATTTGGTCTCTTAGTCTTGCTTTTTGGGTTCTTAATAAATGGTGATAATTTGACTATTTTGCTACTTCATGCCATGGATTCCAAGCAATTTCTTTAGCACTGGAAAGTGCTTTTAAATCTAATCGAATTTCAGAACTAACTCCAGAAAATCCAGGACCAACTCAGAGCACTCATGCTTAAAACTTTCTTTTTCTGGATCTACTCTCAGAATTAAATTCTGTATCAGTGTTCAACCAGAGACAGACCAGTAGGAAACATATAGTTATGTGCCACATAAGTACATTTTGGCCAATGACAGACTGCATGTATGATATTGGTCTCATGAGATTATACTGCCCAGTGACATATAGCTGTTTTAGTCTTAAAAACACTCTATGATGTTCACACAGTGATGAAATTAACTAATGATGCATTTCTCAGAATGTATCCCTGTCATTGTGGACACATGACTTTATATATGTATATACTGATTCTGTCTATATACAGTGATTCTATGTATATATAGAATCAATAGAAGTGCCTTCTGCAAATGTGGGAGCTGGTTAAGCTGTGGTGTCCATGTCTGGTGCTGGAGTTTGAGATTCACAGAGCAGGCAGGCAGTCAGAAAGATCAGAAGCCAGCTGAACTCCTCCCCCTGCCACACAGAAACACTGGCACCCCATAGGAAGGAACTGACGCTTATGTCCATTCTTACTGCCTCTGACCCTGGTGATGGGGGTTTCTGGCAAGATCGAGGGCTCTGCATCTTGGGGTTAAGCACACATACACAGTGCAGAAATCAATGAAGCGGATAGAAAATCCAGCAGAAGTTAGAGCATGCCAACAAGGTGAGTCTCTATATCAGCATGGTTGACCTACAAAATGGCTAATGCTTCCCTTTTGCAACCAAATCTCAAGAATTTCCCTTGTGGCCCTCCCTAATCAGAAACAGCAAGAAAGGGAATTCTGAGAAAGGATGTTCACCCTAGCCACATTGACCCATTACAAAGCCATCATGTTCTTCAATGGCTGTATGTTTCTACAGACTCTTTTGTTCTTGAGTGAGCTTTAGTAAATTATGTCTCTCTTAAGGAAATAGTCTATTCACCTAAACTTAAAAATTATTGATTTTACATCTCCAACAGAAATGAAAATAATTTTCATAATCTGATATGGTACCCATCTCTAAAGGGTACTTTCCCCCACAATTAAAAAATCACTCACTAGGCTTACTAGGCAGAATGGCTCGCTAGCCTTAAACGGATCAAGAAAATGTAGTATATATACACAATGGAGTATTACCCAGCCATAAGGAATAATTACATGTGGTTCGAAGGTAAATGGATGCAATTAACCATTGTTAAGTGAAGTAAGCCAAGATCAGAAACACAAAGGCCACATGTTTTCTCTCATACATGGAAGATAGATCCAAAGATAGACAAACATATACACAAAACCAAGCATGATCATATACAAATTCAGATGTAGAACATGTCTGTAATAGTGGAACTACTCTATGCAACTCGGGGAAAGAGGGAAAGGAACAGAGAATGATATAGCATCAGTTATATCACATAACATAAGATGTGAAGGTAGAGGATATAAGGATGTGTACTGAAAGGTGTTGAAAAATGGGGGGAGGGTGGGAAGTAAAGAGGTAAAGGAGAGTAATGCAAGGGGTGGAACAGAGCAAAGTAAAGTATACCCATAGTGGGCACACATTGAGACACCCCTCTGAACATCAGCTTAAATATTAATAGTGAAAAACAGGACTGTAAAATTGGTACAATGTGGGTATGGGAGGGGGTACTAGTGGGAGGGAGAAGTGGGGAGGAAGGAGATGAAAGTGACAATATATGATACATGGACTTTGTATATCAGTATGAAACAGAACTAAGAAACCTCTTGTAATTGCTTTAAGTGGGGCAGGGAGGAGGTTAAGGGGGAGAGATGATGGGGGTAATGTAAATAATGTACAATATAAGTCTAATCAGAATTGTCACTGTGAATCCTCTCCTGTATAATGAATATATCCTAAAAAATGTGAAAAAAAAGAATCACTCACTTATGGAATCTCAGAGAAAGATTACAGTTTAAAGCTGGAAATAGTTTATTCCATTAATAGTTTGGTATTCCCCCTCCCATTCTTCGGTCATTCACAAATGTTGCACTTAATGTTGTCTCTGGTGCCCTGTGAGTTCCTTTCAGTATGATTCCAAATTGCTCTGGTCTCCAGGTGAGTTAGCATCCAAGAGATCCACACTAGGCTCAAACTCAATTCCTCACTGGCAATGTGTGGGTCCTAACACTGGAGGTAAATCCTATCAGCTGATGTTTAACCTATTCTTTTACAAAAACAGTTTGCTAAGGACTTCCAACACTCATTCTGTGCATGTGTTTGTGTCATGAACTGGAGCCTACTTTTCTCTATTACTGTGAATTTCAAGTACCCTAGAAAACACTGGAACTCAGGTTCAGCTGTTTAAAAAGAGGTTGAGGGTGGTCTTCATTCATCATTAGCAACGTTGGTGTTTGATTTGTTCAAGTTATCATATTTATGCACTACATAGAAAGCCTTTAAAAACTCATTAAAGTCAATGCTTCCATCTTTGTTTAAGTCCATTATGTTGGCGAGCTCATCAACTTGCAAATCATCAATACAAACATTGTAGTGAGCACTGAAAAGTTTCCACATGGTCCGAAGTTCTTCCATGGAGATCAGGCCTAAAAGAAAATAGAAGAAGGCAGTGAGTGTTCATTTCAAGACTCACGTAAGGGAAGAGTGGGGAAGTCACACTGAATCATCCCAACTAGAATATCACTAATATGCCTGAACATCAAAACACTGAAGGAAACAGAAGAGTAAGATCCTAATTGTAAAAAACAATTAAACGTACATCACATTTAAGTACAGAAAATCCTAACGTTATACTAATGCCAGAAAGAGTGAACAGTGAAGAAACAGAGAGGGGAGGTGGATTGTGGGATTAAATGTATTACAGAAATAACAAGAACTAAAATCTAAGAGTGGGGGTCATGAAAGGATGGCAGAGAGGAAAGCAACATCAAAGCAGAGGTATATGGTACCTTGGGAGTTAATAAGAGGATTTCAAACAAGGGTGTTGCCCTTTTTATATTGATTTACTTTCAAGCATCAGTTACTGTCTTTTTGATGTTCAAAGGTCTCTGCAGTAGGAGAGTATTGATTTTCCATCTGTGTAGATGGTGAGCACAGTGCTGAGAATGGAATCCAGGGCCTCATGTATTACTAAGGCAAGCACCCTTATCAGTGAGCTATATTCCCAGCCCTGATTTTTTTTTAAGTTTCGAAATAAGTACTTGTGCATCAAATCAAAATAGAAAATGAATTTTCACATTTTGCAGTCCTCAAAACAGAAAAAATTCTAGGGATGATTTTTAAATTTAGGAATGACAAGACACTAAAATAGAAAGTGAATTATCTGTTCATCTCTGAAAAGATGATCACCAGAATCTGGTGATTTATAAAATGATCTATTCTGGGGTGACAAATGGGTACATAGGGTTCTATGGAACTCTGTGATCTTGAATATAGAATCTGTGGCCAGCTAAAATAACAATAATATTAAATAGAGTCCAACTTTTCCCTTGAGTTTCATCAAATTTGGATGAATAATGAAACACATGAAAACAAAGTTCTAATTATGGAGAAACAAACTAGCCTTTGCTTTCTATCACTACTGAACTAATCAAACTTTATTTACCTGAGTGATCAGAATCAATGATATTAAATATGATTTTCAGGTCAGATCGGTATCTGTACAGAGATTCAACTATAGGAGATTTAACCTAAAATGAAGATTTTCTAAGTGTTAAAACATTTAGAATTAATGATAGCAAATGTAACAAATAGAAAACACCCTTACCAATTCTTTGGGGATAGAACCCAGGGTCTTGTGAATATGCTAGACAAGTGCTCTACCACTGAGCAAGCCCACCAATTCCAATTAGTGATTTAAGTAGAAATTTGAGAAGGCAAGCTTTCCCTTGGCCTCCCATCTTTATTCACACTACAGGCCTTGTGTTCCTCAGTGAACCAAAGTAAATATGGCAGCAGTAAATAACGACTGCCAACATTTAAAGAAAGCTTTATATGGATCATTTCATTCAGTCCTTTACAGCCCTTAGGAATGGGAACAGAACTATTATGTCCATTTTACAGATTAGAAAACAGATAACACAATTTTCCCAAAGATCCCATAGTTATTAAATGAGATTTGAACCTTAGCTTCCTCAACCAAGGCCTATGATCTGAGTCGCCATGGTAAACTGCCTCTGAAGTGAAGTTAAAGTCTCCTTCCTATGGATATTTTAGTTTCCAACCTGCATTTTTATTTCCTTTCCCTAATATTCTCACCTTCCCTGCTAATGATTGCCCAAGTCCCACTTCAATCAGCTTCATGTTCTAACAAATTGCTGATGAACTTCTCACTAACAAGGTCTGGAATCTGATTACTCTTCCCGGGGTGTTCCCATTCTTTAAGGCACATTCTGGGTCATGTCAGCAAGTCTATACATAGTTAAGGAAACATGTTCAGTATTTTAAAAATGTGTTTTGCATGAAAGAATGAATGCACATCTGACCTCAGGTGGGACAGCACCTGAAATAAGAATCCCATATGTGACATGGGTTTGCTTGCCAGAGCCTTTTCATTTTTCCTTTTGCCTATTGTAAAGAGAATATACAAATTCCCTGAACAGATCATTCCCATCCGTTAGGTGACTCTACTCCCAATTTGGCAAAGCACTAAATTATTTAGAAGTTGCTGCAAGGATGTTTTGCTCTAGCCAGATTTTAGCTGGCACTAAGTGTCACTTGCCTTTTTCACAGGTTTTTCAATGTGGATATCCTGGAAGCTGGACATATAGTCAACATTTCCATCTTCATCTGTGTTTACCAGATGTGAGCTCAGGGATCTCCATGGTAAGTTCAGCCCCAAAGTGCTTTCCATAGAAAAAGCCCACTGGGCCACTGAAATTTTTCCTAACAACAACGACAATGAGAAAGCCCATATAATTTGTATATAATTTGACCAAAAAATGCAAGTTCCTGGGCAGAGTCATTGGGCAGCTTAGGGTTTTGAAGCCTGGGACCTGCTTTCCTCCATGATCTGTCCTACCAGGTGCCTGAGCTCTGGAGGAATAACTAAAGATAGATTTTAATATTCCCCAGATCCCATCCTTCCTGTCATGTGTAAGAAATCTCATTTTGGCTAGATTTTTCCCTTGTTTTGATTAACAAAATAATGTATGCTTTTTATAGAAGATGTGGAAGCAAAACAATACAAAGGATTAGTAACTTAATTTTAATATTTTAGTATATTATCCATCAATTTTCTCATCTAATTTGCTTTCCCCCCAACACATATGGAAGTTTTGAAATCCCAACTATTTTTATTTTTTCTAACTAGTAAAGATATGCTCATTTGAATTTTTTTTTTAAAGTGGAATCCAGGGCCTCCTGCACTATAGGAAAGCATTCTATCACTGGGCTGAATCCCCAGCCATTGCTTTTTTGGGACAGGGGCTTGTCATGTAGCTCAGGCTGGTCTTGAACTTACGATGTAGCTAAGGTTCCCTCAAGCCTGTGATCGTCCTGCCTATGCCTTCCAAGTGCTGCAATTACAGGCATGCCCCACCACCCTCACCACTTAAATGACTTTGAATAAACAGGAAATAATGTTGATACTTCCCATCTTTACCTATGCAAACATATTTATACATAAATGTATATATAGTTTCTCTTTGTTAAAATCAAATATACATTGTACTTTAGCATGTTTTATAGACATGTAGTATATATGGTAAAACACACAAAATATTTACTCTATTTTTTACTAGCATTAAACTATGAATAACCAATGTTTTAGTAAGTTTATGATCTATGTTTATCTATGTAGATCTATGTTAGTAAACATATAAACATTAATACACTGTTTTAATGGCTATAAACAGTTTCCACCTTTCCTTAGGATCACTCCTACAAGTGAAATTCCAATATTTTATTATGTACTTTTAAGGTTTTTGATATACAGTTTTTCCTTGATATCTGTGAGTGACTGGATGCAGAAGCCCTCCATGGATACAACAATCTGAGGATTCTCAAGTTCCTTATATAAAAATGACATAGTATTTGCACATAACCTACTTATAGCCTCTGGCACCCTTTAAATCAGCTCTAGATTACTTACTGTTCCTAATACAATGTAAATGCTACATATATAGTTGTTATAGTGTATTGTTTAGGGAATAATGATAAGGAGAACAGTCTGTCCATGTTCAGAACAGATTCGATTTTTTTCAAGTATTTTTCCAGTTATTTTGTCTTAATGGTGTGTGGAAAATGCAATGACACCCACCCTTCTAGTGACTTTCACTGGAACCACAGTGGGTGGCTCCATCCTCTCTAGCCTGGCCCACTAGCTGAAGATCAACAACACAATACAAAGGATTATCCTGCCCCATGCAGTGGGCCACAGCCATGCCCTCTCCAATGAGGTCTGAATCTCAGCTTTGGTTGGCAGTAAAAGATTCTCCGAAATTTGTTCCTTCCTTGGGCTCACTTGCATGCTCTCTCTCTCAGAAATAGCAGCTCTACCCTATACTCGCTATTCCTTTATCTTTTAAAGAGTTCTCTTAAATAAGGGCAAAATAGTTTCTGCTGGGTATTGGGGGGGGGAGAGGGAGGGGGCGGAGTGGGTGGTAAGGGAGGGGGTGGGGGCAGGGGGGAGAAATGACGCAAGCCTTGTATGCACATATGAATAATAAAAGAAAAATGAAAAAAAATAAAATAAAATAAAGAGTTCTCTTTTTTTCCCTTTTAATAATTGATCACCTTTTACTGGTTATCCATTCTTTATTTTTAAAAATGTTTTATTAGTATGTGATAGTTATGGGGGGGTTCGTTGTGATATTTCCATATATACATGTATTATGCCCCAATTTGTTTCATCCTCTCCATTATTCTCCCTCTTTCCCTACTACCTCTCTTAAAATGACTTCAACAGGTTTCAATATTCCATATTCATACATGTATCGATGGAGGAATAACTAAACCGTCTTTAATATGCCACAGATCTCATCCTTCCTGTCATGTGTAAGAAATCTCATTTTGGCTATTAGCTTTTTTTGTGTCAGTTTTAGTGTGTGTGTGTGTGTGTGTGTGTGTGTGTGTGTGTGTGTATTCCTAAAACACATAAACGTGTGTCCTTTTGATCTAAAGTTTGAATTCATAGGCACAAAACTTTTCATAATACATCTTATGATCCTTTTAATGTTTATAACATCTGTAATAATAATCTCTTTCAATCTTGGCATTGCTTATATGTGTTTGAGCACATGTGCTCTCTCACTTGTGTAAGCTGTAAGCTCTTTCTTTTTCTCTTTCGCACCAGAGTTTTATCAATTTTACTAGTCTCTTCAAAGAACTGTGCTTTTACTTTGATAATAACACTTTCATCTTTTAAAATATATGTATTCAAAGTTATTAATATCTCATTTGCATTCTATAAGTTTTAAATGTCATTTCATTATCATTAAGTTTCAGCATTCTAATTTCCATTGTCATCTCTTCTTTGATCCAAGGGTTATTCTGAAGTACATTTCTCATTTCCAATTGAAAAGAAGAATTTATTTTTGAGACAGGGTCTCAATACTTAACCCAGGCTGGCCTCACTGTTCATGACACTTTTTTTATGGTACTAGGGATTGAATCTACAGTCTTACGCATGCTAGCAAGCAATGTGACTTGAGCTCTGACCCCATGGTTTTGAGACATGGTCTCACCACTACTTTGGCCCCAGCTGGCCTCAAACTCATGATTCTCCTGCCTCCATATATCAAGTACCTGGAACACAGGTATGTGCCACTACACCCAGCTCTTCCTATTCATACCTGCTAATCTTTGTAATTCTTGAGCAGTATCTAATCTTCTCATTAACCCATCCATTATGCTTTCTCTTTATTTTAACAAGTGTACTTTTACAGCTACTTGCTGCTTCTTTAAATAATTTTCAAGTGTATGTTTGTGATCCTTTTATTTGTTTTCATTTTTTACATTTTATATTTGATATTTGATAATACCAAAATCTGATGTCCTTGGGGAACAAGATCTGTTTGTTCTTTCTGCTGACTGCTATTCATCATACCTCATTTCCTTCTTTGTTTGGTAATCTTTGGTTGTAAGCTCATATTGGTTGATCTTAACCTTGGGATATACTAGTGGTGAAAATTAGGGCTGCTTCCCTCAAAGAAGGATTTGCTTATTAGAGGTAAAGAACATTAAAGACTTTATAGTAAATTCATCACTTTAAGGGTGGAATAATAATGTGGAAGTCCCAAATTCAGCTTTTCCATTTTTGCACTATACTAGAGTTTAGTCTAGGATGATTGCTATACAAATATTAGCATTTGTCCAAAGACAATCCAGCCTTTTGTGCTTGCTTGTTGCTCCATGCTCCAGAATAGGATTCAAATCTTTTTTTTTTTGCCTCAAATTTGCAATCCTCCTGTCTCAAACTCCTCAGTGCTGGGATTACAAGTGTGTACCAACATGCCTGACTCAAATCATCTTTCATAAGGAGTGGAGATGTAGCTAAAAGGTTTCCCATACTGTGAAGTTGATAAATGTATTAAAATTCTGCATCCTCCTGAATCTAGCTGTTTCTTAGTATACTACCAGGACAGAAGTCTAATTCAGAGTTGTTAGTTTTTTTAATTGAATCTTACTGAAAAGAAGATATATGCCTGGTTTGAGTGAACGATGGATTTAAGTTTGTTTTTTCTCTATCATTCCTTTCTAGCAAAAATGGAGAACTGAAATCCCAAGGAAGCAAAGAAAATGAAAACTGATCTGTATATAACCTGGTATGTTTGAAATGAGGACTATATAATTCTATTACCTGATCTACTATGGTCTCGAAGTTGGAAAGCATGAGTGAGGTCAGTTTTTCGTGAAATCATTCTCTCTTTTAATATCATGATGGCACTGCTTTCCATAGCATGAACACTGTGTGAAGAAAAAATAATTAGGTGAAAGTTATGTAAATTATCTTGCTCTGTTTCATTTTAATGTGCTATGTTACCACTTATCAGTTTCCACTTTAAATAAATCACCTAAATTCAACATACCATCTTACTGATGTGATTTGTGTGTGTGTGCATGTGTGTGGTGTAAGCATGTGCACATATTTTCTAACTTTTTTTTGTCTTTTTTGAGACAGGGTCTCACTAGGTAATCAGGCTAGCCTGAAATTCACAACATCCTCGCTGGTGGGATTGCAGGCATGTACCATCACATTGGTCATTTTGGTGAAATCTTAAAAGATTAAAAATAGTGTTTTCTTTTCTTGTGAGATTGAAAGGATTACATGAGTAATTACTGAAAAAGTAAGAAAATAAAAAGTAACGTGCTATAGCAAAATTTTGAAATTTACCATTAAGTTACTGAAACAAAACACAGGTACTAAACACAAGAGAAGATATGTATGTGAGTAGAGACATAACAGAAATTTCATAGATATATCCAATTCTATATTGAAATAGAGATTCAGTAGAAAAGGATAATTTTTTAAATTCTGCTATCGCAGTTAGCTAGCCATCTGGACTTAAACTTCTCCTCAGAATCATTTACAAAAAATTAATCTGAAGTAAAGAAGGAAGTGAGGGACAAAATAGTCATGAGATATACAGTCCATTCTTGGTATTCAGGAGGACTGATTTGAGGATTACTCATGGATACTTTATAAAGTGGCATAATATTTCCATATAACTGGACACAGCCTCCAATATACTTTAAATCATCTCTAGAGTAACTTATAATGCGTAATTCACTATCAATGCCATGTAAGGTGTTTTTATACTATATTGTTCAGGGAACAATTAATACGAAAAAATCTATATATGTTCAGAACAGACTTAAGTTTTAATGTTTTCAAATGTGGAACCCAACAGATTATGAACACCTGACAGTATATCAAAAAAGTAAAAATCACATGCAAATTGAAATTATAACTAAATAATAACATTAGTAAAGAGATTAGTCAAATCAAAAAGGCAGAGATTGAGAGACTAGATAACAAAACAAATCCAACTATAAGCTATAACACAGAAATACATTTTAATTTTCAAATACAGAAAAGAAGCAAAGGGACAAAAAGGAAACATCAGGCAAATAGTAAACCATGAGAGCTAGACTGGCCATGCTAATAACAGACAGAGACTTTAGGAGAAAAATTTCTTTACTGAGAGATAAAGAGGAATATTTCATAATGATAAAGCTTATCAATCAAAGATAAAACAATTATAAGCATACATTGATGTAAACAACAGAGCCTAAACTGTGAAGCAAAACCTGAGAGATTGAAGAAAGAAATAGACAACTCAACAATACACTTGGGGATTTCATACTCTACTTTCAAAAAGTGAAACAAAACAACTATGTGAAAAAATGAACAAGGATATAGGACTTGAGTACCTAAATAAACCAACTAAACCTAACTGACACATATAAAATACTCCACCCAACAACAGCAGAATATACATCCTTTCTAAGCACATGTGGAAATTCTTTCCCAATACACCCCATGATAGATCATGATGTAAGTTTTTAATAGACTTAAAAAAGAATAAAATTATCCAAGCATCTTTTCTGATCACAAATAATTAGAAAATTATAAAAAATTAAAAGGAGAAACTCGTAAGTATAAAGAAATTAAACAATACTACCCTAAAAAGCAAATGGATGAAAAAAGAACCTATAAGAGAAATTAGAAAATACTGTAAGATGAATGTCGATGAAAGCAAAGCAAATGTCTAGTCATAGTAATCCACATTTGTAATCCTGGCACTCAAGAGGCAAAGGCAGGAAGATCATGGATTGGAGGCCAGTATGGACTACATACTGAGATCCTACCCCAAAATAAAAAAAAAATTAGAGAGGAAAAGAAGAAAAACAAAACAAATTAAAACATATGGGGTACAACTAAAGCAATGCTTAGAGGAAAATTTATAGCTATAAACACAAAATAATGAAATAAATATGTATAAATTTATAGCTATAAATACCTATATTAAAATGCACATATTTGCTAATAAAAAAGAGTAAAATGCCTATATTGAATTAGGGATATCAGTGGTAGAGTGCTTGTCTAGAATGTGCAAGGCCTGGGTTTAATGCCTAGCACCACCAAAAAAAAAGTCACTGAAAAATATAGCTACTAATACCTATATAAATATATCTATGTTTATACCTATTAATACCTATATAGGTAAATATGCCTATGTTTAAGTGTACAAATATCTATACCAAAAAAGAACAAAGGTCTCTTTCTAATCAAAATATGATCCTCTACCTTAAAAGGGCTGGGAGCATGGCTTAAGTGGTAGAGAGCCAGCTTCCCTGAGCTCAAACACCAATGCCACCAAAAAAATGTTAATGAAAATTTAAAAATAAAGCTGGGCATGGTGGTACATGCCTATAATCTCAGCATATAAGAGCTGAGGCAGGTATCACAAGTTTTAGGCCAGCCTGGGCACATAGTGAGATACTGTCTCAAAAAAAATCAAAAACTAAAACAAAATAGAAAAACAAAAGAGTAACTAAACCTAAGGTAAACAGATGAAAAGGGAATAACAATAAAGGTAACAACAGAAATAAATGAAATTTAAAACAGAAAAACAACAGACAAAATTTAAAAACCCCAAAATTTGGTTCTTTGAAGGAATCAATTAATAAAATACCTACATTTTAGCTACTAATACCTATATAAATATACCTATATTTATAACTATAAATACCTATAACTATAAACACCTACACATAAGTAAATATACCTGTATTTATGCCTATAGCTATAAATACCTATGTAGGTAAATATACTTATGTTTAGGACTATAAATACCTATACCAAAAAAAAAGAAAGAAAGATCTCATTCAAATCAATAATATGATCTTCTACTTTAAAACTGGGAAAAAAGAACTGGGGGGCTATGGATCAAATGGTAGAGCACCTGCCTACCAGTTATAAGACCCTGAGTTCAACCCCAATACCTCTAAATTTTTTAAAATAAAAATAAAAACTGGAAAAAATACAAATGGTGATACACACCTGTAATCCCAGCACACCAGGGGGCTGAGGCAGAGGGATCATAAGTTCTAGGCAAGCCTGGGCTACATAGTGAGAAAGAAATTTAAAAATAGAAAAACAATAAAGGGAATTAACAAAAACAATATTTGGTTTTTGGAAAGGATAAACAAAATTGATAAATCTTAAAACTGGCTTTAAAAAGATGATGCAAATTTCTAAAATCAGGACTAAAAGAGAGGACATCACTACTGATCTCATAAAACTAAAAAAGTGTATAAGGGGGTAGTATGAACAATTTGTACAGTAACAAGTTAGGCAACCTAGATGAAATGAACAAATTCCTAAAAATGCACAAGCTGCCCAAATTAAGCATAGAAAAACTGAACATGCCTATAACAGTACAAAGACTGAATAAGTAATTCAACAACTCACCAAAAAAAGTCCAGGGCCAATGGCTTCATTTATGAATTACACACCAAACATATAAAGCTGAATTAGTACTGATCATTTACAAACTCTTCTAAAAAAAACCCAAAGAGGTGGGAACATTGCCCACTTGAGATGCCAGTATTACCCTGATATCAAGACCAAAGATCACAAAACTACAGACCAATATCTCTCATTATTGATAAGATGCAAAATCCTCAACAAAATGCTAGTAAATTATATCTGACAACATACAAAAAGGATTACACAGCATGAGCAACTGGGGTTTATCCCAGGGAGGAAAAGTTTGTCTAATCTCTGAAATCAATGTAAATATTCTATATTACTATAATATAGGACAAAAACAATATGATCACCTCAATAGATACAGAATGGATTTGAAAAAATCGAACACTCCTCCACGATGAACACATTAGACAATTCTATGCCACTAGGTACAGAAGGTAACTTCCAGGAGCTGATAGGTGTCATCTACAAAATATACACAACTAACACTATACTTAATGGGGAAAGACTGAGTGCATCCCCTTATGATCAGGAAAAAGACCAAGGTATTGTTCTCATCAGTTTTATTCAACATTGTAGTAGAGGTTCCATACATGGCAAGTAGACAAGGAAAAGAAATAAAAGTATCCAGGATGGAAAAGAAATTAAACTATCTCTATTAAGAGAAAATATGATCTTGTATATAGTAAGCCCTCCATATACGTAGATTTGTTATATGCAGTTTTAACCAAATAATATAAAAATATACAATATAATAATATGAATTTATATATAAAATCCCAGGGAAGTCAGTAAAAACTACTAGAATAAATAAGTTCATCTAGATTGCACAAAATCAATATATGAAAATCAGTTATATGTTTATATACAAGCTCAACTAACCAAAAGAAGACCCAAATTAATAAAATTAGAAATGAAAATGGGATATCACAACAAATACCAATAAAATCCAGAGTATCACTAGGTGATACTTGAAAAACATAAACTAATAAAGTAGAAAATCAAGAAGAAATGGATAAATTTCTAGATATATACAACTTATTAATATTGAACCAAGAGAATATAAACAATTTAAAACAGAGCTATAACAAATAATGAAATTGAAGTAGCCAGAAAGAGTCTCCCAAAAAAAAAAGAGCCGGACCAGATGGATTCACTGCTGAATTCTACCAGTCCATTAAGGAAGAATTAACACCAGTGTACCACAAATTATATCATAAAATAAAAAGGGAAGGAATGCTATCAAACAAATTCTATGAAGCCAGTATTAGTCCAAGGCCAAAACCTGATAAGGACACGATGAAAAAAGAAAATTATAGGAGGATATTCCAACATGGCAGCTAGAGGTAGGAAGCAGAAAGCGAGCCTCCTATAGTGAAATCTTGGAGAGACGCTGGAGACACACCTTGCAGGCAAAACCACCAAGAAGAGGCAAAACTTTGACCCTCCACACCTCCAGCCAGCGCAG